AAGTTGTTTTTCTCAGATATTCTGTTACAATATGAAAAACTAGCCTACCTCCCATTTACTATGTGGTTCAAGAGTGAGAACAAGCCAAAGCTCCCAAAGTCAGAAGGACAGAATTTGAATAGTAAAGAAAGGGCAATGAGACTCAATTGGGCTGCAAAAGACAAGGAGGGCTTCCTAGCAATGGAAGAGCTCCAAGGAGAGGGCAGTATTGAAGAGCTTTTTCTTTTATTTTTTAAATTTATGCCTACCTCCCATTTACTATGTGGTTCAAGAGTGAGAACAAGCCAAAGCTCCCAAAGTCAGAAGGACAGAATTTGAATAGTAAAGAAAGGGCAATGAGACTCAATTGGGCTGCAAAAGACAAGGAGGGCTTCCTAGCAATGGAAGAGCTCCAAGGAGAGGGCAGTATTGAAGAGCTTTTTCTTTTATTTTTTAAATTTATTTTTATTTTATGTGTACAAGTGTTATGCCTGCACATATGTAAATGCATCTGTCTCATGCAGTACTCACAAAACACACAAGATGGCACTGGATTGCCTAGAACTGGAGTTACAGACAGTTGCCAGGCACCATGTGGGTGCTGGGATTTGAACCTGGGTCCTCTGCAAGAAGAGCCAGTACTCTTAACAGCTGAGCCATCTCTTCAGCCCCTCTTATTTTTAAAGGGCTTTACTAAGACATAAAATTACTGAAGAGATAAAACTAGTCTTAAAAGACCAAGCTTGGTGGTATAGGCCTTTAATCTCAGTACTACAGAGGCAGAAGCACGCAGATCTCTGTGACTTCCAGGCCAGCCAGGGTTACATAGTGAGACCCTTAAAACAATGAAACTGATCCATTAAAATAGGCTTGAAGGCTGACAAGATGGCTCAGCAGGTAAAAGTGCTTGTTGTACAAACCTATGACTTGAGTTTAATCCCTGGAACCCACATAAAACACATTTGTAATCCCAGCACTTCTACAAGGAGATTGGAGACAGAGACAGAAATACCCAGAAGCTAGCCTGGAGTATGCAGTGCAATAGAAAAAAAGAGACCCTGACTTGAAACAAGATTGACGAGAGAACTGACTTTCAAAAGTTGTCATCTGACCTCCAACGTGTGCACCATGGCACACACGCACCACCCCCAACATATAGCATGTATACTCACACACATATTTACTTTTATTTCTTTTGTGTATGACTGTTTTGTCTGCATGTATGTAAGTACACCGCATGCATGTAGTGCTGGCAGAGGTAAAAAGAGGGCATCAGATACCCTGGAACTGGAGTTACCAACAGTTCTGAGCCTCCATGTGCAAGCTGGGAACCAAACCTGGATCCTCTGTAAGAAAAACAAGTGCTCTTAAATGCTGAGCCATCTCTCTAGCTCCCTAATTTTTCTTTTTAAAGAATTAAGAAAAACTGTCAGGCTGGCAAGATAGCTCTGTGGGTAAAGGCACTTGCGTCAAGTCTGAAAAATCTGATTTCAATCCCTGAAACCAATATACTGGAAGGAGAGAACTTACTACCACAGAGTAGTCCTCTGACCTCAATACATGTGCCATAGCGTGGGGGTAGGGTATGTGGGTTCATGTGAGTGCACATTCACATACACACACACACAAAAAAAAAAAAAGTTAAAAAAAGTTTTTAAAGAAAAAATGTTTTCCACACAAAACTCGTAAGTATGGTTTCCAGATCCTTACGAAGTAGGAAAGTCCAAGTCAGTCTATAGTTTCTCTTTACCTTAACAAAAATTTATCTCCAGGGCCAAATTACACAAATATGATCAACAACTATCAAGTTTTGAGAAGCTAATGAGACCTCTAGTAGTAAATATAAAGTAACTACTGAATTTAATTTTTTAAAATATTTTATCTATTATTTTTATTTATATGTATGTGTGTACTGCCTGTATGTAGGTAAGTGCAACCATGTCGTGCAATGCCCACAGAGAACAGAAGAGGCTGTTGGATCCCCTGGAACTGGAGTTACGGACAGTTGTTAGTTGCCATGTAGGTGCTGGGATTCGAACCCGGGTCTTCTGCAAGAACAACCAGTGTTCTTAACCACTGAGCCATCTCTCCAGCCCCTGAATTTAATTTTTATTTCTTTATGTTATGAGTTGTATGCCCAAATATGTGTAGATGCACCCATGCTATGCAGTGCCCCCATGCTATGCAGTGCCCACAGAGGACAGAAGATGGCACTGGATCACCTAGAACTGGAGTCATAGAACTGGAGAACATGGAGTCAGCCGCCATGTAACAGCTGGGATTCAATCCCAGATCTTCCAGAAGAACAGCCAGTGTACCCATCTACATGCAGACACTGCATTCATATACATAAAATAAAAATTTTAAAAATTTTAATATATATATAAAATATCAGCAGTTAAGAGCACTGGCTGCTCTTGCCGAGGACCCAGGTTCATTCTATATATAAACCTCCTGACCAGACAAATATATGTGGTGAGTTGCAAATAATAAATAAAAACTTAAAAACTTAAAATACTTAAATAAAAACTGGGGTCAGCGATATGTTCAGTGTGTAAAAATGGTTGCCACCAAGGCTGACAACCTGAGTCTGATCACCAAGAACACAAATAATGGAAGGAAAACTGACCCTCTGAATGTCACACACACAAGCACACACTCACACACATGTGTGCACACAAAATAAATGTAACAAAAATATTTTAACTTAAAATAGTTACTTTCCAAAAACATATCCATCTAACCATCCCATTTTGTTTTTCAGTGACTGATTCAGCCTCTATAAAATATTTTAATTAAAATACTTAATTTGGGGGCTAGAGAGGTGGCTCAGTGGTTAAGAGCACTGGCTGCTCTTTCAGAGGATCCACATGACAGCTAACAATGATCAGTAACTCCAGTTCCAGGGGATCTGACACTCTCTTCTGACCTCTATGGGCATTGCCCACACAAGATGCACTTACATACATACAGGCAAAATGCTCATACACATAAAATAAAAATTTAAATTAAAAAAAAAGCTTTTCTCATCAAGGGTCATTCCCTGAAATAAACAAATGACAAATGTTCTCCCTCATTTGTGGATCCTAGCACCAATCCCTTATATGTGAGTATATATCCTGATATAACCAGGAAAATGGAAAGGAACCAGAAAGGGAAAGGGAAAGGAGGAGTCAGAGAGCAGAACAGTAGGAGACAGGTGTTACCAGGGAGAAAATGGGTAAAATGGGGGTATTTAAATAGCAGGGGGAGAAGGACAGTTATACAAAGAACTATAGGGGTGAAGGGGAAAAAGAACTCATGTGAGGGGGCACCGTAGGAGACAGGTATTATTAAGGTAAAAATTGGGGTACTTTAACTGGGAAGGTAGGAAGGGAGGAGGGATGGTTAGGCGGGGAGAGATAAATAATGCCTAGCTGGTATTAAAACAAACAAACAAACAAACAAACAAACAAAAAACGCCACGCCCAGGGGTGGTGGCTCATGTCTTTAATTCCACCACAAGGAAAGTGGATCTCTGTGGGTTCAAGGCCAGCCTGGTCTACACAGTGAATTCCAGATCAGCTGGGGTTAAAGAGAGACCCTGACTCCAAAAGACCCCCCCCAAAAAAACCCCAAAAAACCCAGAGGGAAACATGTTAGTTCAAAAACCTACTGAAAAATTACACATACAAGAGTTCATGGTATAGCTGAAGGCTATATAACAAGAAACAGTGCCAGACAGGAGAAACCTCACTTTGAGTTGTTGGTCAAGATGGTCCAATAGACTCCCAAAATTACACAGGCTATTGCTACAGTCCTTGATTATCTTGCAGAACTTGAAGGTAAAACCCTACAGCTGAAGAAAGGACATACTTCCAACACAGGACTTGGAGCAATGGAGCTGGAACTGACCTAGAAGCCACCTCCCTGAAGACTAGTGCTCATAGCTTTGGAGGACACTATGCAAACTGCTAAAGGAGAAAATCAATCGATGGCCCAACCCAGCATTGTCTCATATATAAATTAATATGTAGAAAAGCATATGGCAGATTGTTTTTCCTGGCATGAAATAAATACACATCTATTTCCTTACCCCATACTCATGTTCCACCCCGAAAGAGACTCATTACTTAACACTATTTAAATAACAAAAACTTAAACTATCTTTTATCATTAAAAACACTCAAATTTGAAGAATTTAGGATCTATTGTTTGTTTTTGTCTGAGATTAATGTGGGCAAGCCTCAACTATAAATAGGTCAAAAATATCTTGAAGAACAGGTATGACCCCCACAGCAGGGATCTAGAGTGCTTCCATCTGTGATTGACTACTGCCTTCGAAAAGCCTAAGGACTGACTTTGCTGGTTCCCTTTCTAGGCCATCAGGTATCTTCCATTCTGAGTTTTAAAGACAATTATGGTTTCTCCTAACCTACACCTAAAGCAAGCTCAAGTTCTCAAATTATTTCTAGCAGTTTTTATTACTTACACAATGAAAAGGATTTCCTTCTTTCTTTTACCTACTATTTAAGTAGGTAAAGACTCCTTGAGGCATTATCAATTCTCAGAGGCTTATCAAGAATTAAACGTTCTTCTAAATTTCTTATGAAAATAGAGACAAAAATGTCTGGATATTTTATTAGAGAAGCTGTAAAGGGCTCTGGAGGAAGGTAAAGCTTTGAGAAGGAAGGATGAGAGAAAACTGAATATTTTATCTTTAAAATTTGAGCAGATATCTTAGAACTGCTCCTCAATTTTGTCTTTGTCACCACCACAGCCAATTCTACCTGTCACTTCTCAATTCCGCTAAGATAAATGCTACATCACCTCAACCTTAGGATTTAAAAAACACAAAACAAGGGACTGGAGAGATGGCTCAGCGGTTAAGATCACTGACTGCTCTTGCAGAGTGCCCAGAAGGTTTGATTCCCAGCACCCACATGGCAGCTAACAACCTACACCAATGAAACTCTAGTTCCAGGGGATCTGATGCCTTCTTCTGACCTCCGAGGGCATTGCACAACATGGGTGCACTAATACACATGCAGGCAATACACTCATACATATAAAAGTAATAAAAAAATATATTTTTTAAAAACCACAAAACAAAATTATACTTTGGCTATTAGGTTATTAGTGACAGGGAGGTGATAAGTGGCAGCAGTCCGAGGGAGAATAAGCTTGGTGTCAGCACCTGGGCCTGCCTCTCCTGTGAAATTCATGTGGGATGGAGGGTACAGGGTACAGAAAAAGAAGACTGCTTCCAATTTTCTTCCTCTGCTCCAAATTATCCTTAGACTTTCCCATATAAGCACAAAGATACAGTAAATATTTATAAGTACATGGTTTTATGAGATTATGCTATTTTTTAAAAAAATATTATGTGTATGAGTATATTGCCTACATTATGTGAGTGCACTTGTGTTGTGCAATACCTATGGAGGTCAAAAGAGGGTGTTGGATTCCTCTGGAACTGGAGTTAGAGACAATTATTGGTGGCCATGTGGATGCTGAGAACCCAGATCCTCAAGAGCAGTCAGTGCTCTTAACTGCTGAGTCATCTCTCTAGTCCTAAGATTATGCTATTATTTTTAAGCTTAAAGTCAGGTTCTATTCTAGAAAGGTAGGAAGTAATGAATGGAATTAAGTATAGTTTTTAAATATACCCGGAACTTATTATTCCTTTTAATCAACCCCCTGAAAATTAACTAGCAGTTATTAGTGTCATACAGTGAACACAGCATGTTTTGCTGAGTGGCAAATCTTAGATTGTTAAAATCTAATGAATTGTTATTTCGAATTTCAAATCTTTTACATATAAAATTTTTGGCTATAAGTTTATTTTAAAATCTTGTCACTGTCAGTGAATAATTGAAAGCTAATATAAAATATGAAATTAAGGGGCTGGAAAGATGGCTCAGCAGTTATGAACACTGGCTACATTCGCAGAGTACCTAGGTTTGGTTCCCAGCACCCACACAGCAGCTAGCAATATCTCCAGTTCCAGGGAATTCCAGCGCCCTCTTCTGACCTCCACAAGCACTGCACGACATGGGTGCACTTACATATATGTAGCAATATACTTACAATATGTAGGCAATATACAGTAAAATAAAAATAAAGTATGAAATTAGAAGGTTAAAATTAAAAAGGGGGGGCCACGGGTTACATACCTGGGGGGCTTCTTAAACCTCTCAGCAAACCTAATCCTACATAAGCTATAAAAATTTTCATTTCTGGGCATTGGAGGTGCATGCTTGTAATCCAAACACCCAGATGCAGAAGGAAGAAGGCTGCAAGTTCAAGGCTAGGCTAGGTTCCATAGCAAGGGAGACTTGAAAAAAATGTTTTATTTATTATTTTTATTTATTTTATGTGTACGAGTGTACTGTCTGCATGTATGTGGGTGGACCCGTGTCGTGCAATGCCCCGAAGGTCAGAAGAGGGCGTCGGAGTCCCCTGGAACTGGAGTTAAAGACAATTTGTAGCTGCCATGTGGGTGCTGAGAATCAAACCCGGGTCCTCTGCAAGAGCAGTCACTGCTCTTAACCACTGAGCCATCTCTCCAGCCCGAGACTTGTTTTTTAAAAAAACAAAACAAAACAAAAGTGCATCCAATTGGCAAATGGTTCTGCAGATATGGGAACCAAACATCTGCTTTGGAGTTTGGCAGACTTCTCTTCTACAACTCTAGACTGGAAATTCCAAGCAGGCTAAATTACTTTTTTACCTTCCAACAAATCCTGAATACATGAATAAATTTTCCCATGAAATGTTAAAGGAAAAAAAACTATGAAATTTTTCTAAAAACCTGAACACCTATATTTACACATCTCCACACACAAACACACACATTTAAAGAGCAGTGGATAAAGGACAGGGCAGAGACTAAAAAGCACAAAATCCTCTACTGAAGCATCAGGCCAAATGACTCAAAGCTAAAGCATTCATAAAATAACAGAATATATTTCTGAATCACTAAACCAGACAATTCCGAAAACGTCTTCCCCAAATCTACACAAAACATACAAAGACATATTAAAATTAATTTACTTACGGAAAAAATCCTTTTTCACCAAGTTTTTTGCACAGAGTACTGTAAAGGAAACAAAAACAAATATATGGGAAAAATTGAATTAAAATAGTAAGACTACTGTTTCATTTTAAAACACTGAAAACAGCGGTGGATAACTGAACTCTTAACCACAATGAGTATGAAATATGATTGTAAACATTCAATAGACTCCAGCAATCAAAAGAAGCTGAGTTTCAATGGCTATAACTTTAGCAATGACTACCAATAACAGCTGAAGGAAATAAAGTCTATAAATCTGATATTCTAATTAGGCCGAATTCCTATCTTCCATCAAAATCTATTCTTAGGGGAGAAATGTATAAAGGGCAAGATCAGTCATTAAGAGCACTTGCTGCTCTTTCAGAGGACCAGAGTTTGGTTTCTAGCACTCATGTTGGGCTGCTTATAATTAACTGTAGCTTCAGCTCCAGGGAATCCACTGCTCTCTTCTGACCTCCACAAGGCACCTGCATATACACATATGCATGCCCCACACGCACACACGCACGCATACACACATACACACACACCATTTTTAAAGAATATCTTTTCTTAGAGAAACCCAATGATAACAGAAAAAAATAGTTCTAGGGAGAAGACATGTAAATTCAGATTGGCCTATCTATTTTAATGATGAAATAATTTTCTGTAGAAGAAGATTGTAAATGATAAAAGTTTCCTGATGTAAATGAGATTTCAAAAAATAACAGTCTCATCTAAATGCCATAGAAACTTTATGGGAGAGATAAATTGCCTTCCCCCTAAATCATCAGCAGCTCAGTGACAAGATGGGTTTCCGGTATAATCTAAAATTAAAAGCAAGGCAGATGCAATGGCTCGATGGGTAAAGGCACCTGCTGCCAAGCCTGACAACCTAGGTTTGATCATCAGGACCAACATGGTAGAAAAGAACCAATCCCCCAAGTTGTATTCTTTGACCTCCATACCAAATTGTGGCATGTGCATGCATGTGTGCATACACATGCACAAATACATAAATATAATTTTATAATAAATTAAAAGAGATCTGAGTACCTTGCAAAGTGAATACATACACAACCACGTGAATATACTAAAAAAAAACACAACACTTTAAAAGATTAAATTTTATAATGTACAAATAGTATTTCAATTTAAAATTACTACTCAGGTAGTCATAAATTTGATTCAAACGTGACAAAGGGAAAAATAACGGTTTTCATTGTATTCATATATGAATATAATGTGTGGCTAGTTTCTACCGGCTTCTCATAGTTTTGGAGGTCTGTTTAGAATAATTATTGAAGTTTGACATATAAAAATTCATTTAACATAAATTTAGGAAGAAGTCTAAATATAATAATCACTTTAGAAATTTAAATGAAAATTGTTTTGAAAGCAAACACCATCAGTATATGAATACAATGATCAATCCAAGACACTGAATTACTAGTCAAGAGTCCCTTAGGCCATGTCTTAAAAGCAGTTTTTGTTGTTCTTGCGGGGGGGGGTTGCTTGTTTTGCTTTGGGGGGGGTCTTTTTGAGACAAGGTCTCTCTATAACTCCAGCTGGCCTGGAGCTCACTATGTAGACCAGGCTGGCCTTGAACTCAGAGATCCCCTGCTGACTCTGCCTCCTGAGTGCTGGGACTAAAGGCATGCACCATCACATCTGGCTTGTTTTGCTTTTAGACAAGGTTTCACTATGCAGCACTGGCTGGTCTGGAACTCAATATGTAGACCAGACAGGCCTGGAAGTCAGAGATCATTCCTACCTCTGCCTCCAAGTGCTGGGATTAAAGGTGTATGCCACCACAACCAGCCTTAGTTTTATTTTGAAAAAATTAAAATTCAATCATGAAAATAAGGCCCATAACTAAAAATACTAAATCATAAAATGGATTTAGGAAAAAAAATCCCCAAACTTTCATCATTACAGAAACTGATCAGGACCAACACACATGTAACACACACAAATCCTGAATTACAATATTTAACAGTAATAAGGCAATAGCTTTTAAACTATCTATCCTGTGATTCATAAGATGAATGACTCCACATCTGACTTTGGAGAAAGAGACTGAGACGTCCTCTAGCTTCTTGCCACAAACTTACAGTTTTCCTGCTCATTCTTATTTCCTCCCTTCTACTTACAATGTAGATGATCTCATATCCAACATACCACACTCTCATGGACCTTGAGAGCCACCAGAGCCATCCTGGACCTTGTCCCTTCTGACTACCTTATCAGCTTTTAAATACATCTTAACCCAAGGTTCCTTCCAGCTATCTCTGCTCTTTTATAATGAAACTTATTCAAATATCTAAACATTCTGACTCCACTTCTTTACCTCCCATCAATGCCTCAGTCCCCTGCAATTTGGGTTTCTCCCTTACCACAGCTCCGAAATTACTTATCCAGAGGCTTAGGGACCTAATTATCAAATCCATCCAGTAGACACTTTTCATTCCTTAGTGTACACAACCCCTGAGGAGCATTTGCAACTACTGACTACTACTGTCTCTTCTTTTGGTTCTGTTTAACAGCATATTCACAGATGGCATAAAACTCACTTCTTTGCTCCATTCACAAAAGTTGAAGTTCTTTTTTTTTTTTTTTTTTTTTTTTTTTTTTACAAAAACCTTTAAAATAAGGCTGTCTTGGATTCACCATGTAGACCAGGCTGGTCTCGAACTCACAGAGATCCGCCTGCCTCTGCCTCCCAAGTGCTGGGATTAAAGGCGTGCACCACCATGCCTGGCCTAAAAGTTGAAGTTCTTTAGGGTGTTGCCCTAGGTTCTCTTCTTTTACTGTATAACCTGAATTGTTTTGAGACAGGGTCTTCTAGCAACCCCAGCTGGCCTGGAAGTCTCTATGTAGACCAGGCTGGTCTCAATCTCAGAGATCTACTGGCCTCCGCTGGGACTAAAGGTGTGCAGCACCATGCCCAACAACCTAAATGGGTTACAGATGCCCATTTTTGTAACCCTTGAAATTCTATGTAAACTGCTATTGATGTGTAATTTCCTGTAGAGAGACCTCAGTTCTCCTAAAATAGTTTAATAAGAGTAACAAAACTCTTTCATCTCAAAAAACAAATTTGAGCCAGGTGTGGTGGCATATACCTTTAATCCCAGCACTCAGGAGGCAGACAGGCAGATCTCTGTAAAATGGAGGTCAACCTGATCCACATAGTGAGTTCCAGTTCAGCTGGGGCTACAAGGGAAACGGTGTTTCAAAAGCCACTTTTTCATATATTCTCCTGGGTCTTTGTCATTCATTCTAGTTTTGATGGCAATTAAACCCATAAAACTCAACATCTAGCTCTCTCCTGAACTCTAGGCCCATAAAACTAAGTATATTGTATATTTCCCAAGTAAAATCATCATCTCTCCTCTGTCCCGTCCCCAAACCTATACCTATTCTTCCATTAGCTTTCTTTCTTTTTTTATTTTTGGTCTTTCTGTAGCCCCAGCTGACCTGGAACTCACCATGTAGACCAGGATGGCAGGAGGAGGAGGAAATATTTTCAACAAACAACTTTCCTTTCCATTCAAACTATCCAAGACAGAAGACTTCATAGTCACTACTTCTCCCCCTCCCCACCCCTCAGTCTACTTCTCTTTTGTGCCAGTTCAGCCACAACCCTCCAGTTGCCAACACTGGACCCCAAGTGATCACTCTAAATACTTGATTACGTTCTCTCATCCATTTTCCTTTCTCCCGTCCTTAAAACAAAGGTCTTCTGGCCCAAAATTATTTTGCCCTTCAAAACTTGATGCTTGCTTATCAACCTCTCTGATTTCATTTCTCATCACAAATCCCCTTTAAGTCCCCAAGTGTAAGATCTGGCCATACTGTCTTACTGTCCATCTCGCACATGACCATGGCTTTAACATCCCATTCCCTCTACCCAAAATGTTTTCCCCAAGCTTCTACACCTACTCATTTTTGTACTCTCAAAATGAAAGCAGCTTTTCAGAAGGCTTTTTTCTCAATTCTCCCATTTTTCACAGAAACTTGTATTTAGCACAAATAGTTGCCATATTTTATCATAAATGTTAAATTTACCGTGTTGCTGCAAGTTTAAAACATGGCTATGAAGGTTGCAAACACCATACAGCATGAATCACACACATCTCCTTCATCTATCTCTTGGTATTCCCAGAACCAAGCATACATGTACCTTGCAACTGATGGGCATTTATTAATATTTGATAAATGAGTGAAACAGAACCCAAAGTATTCTAAAATTTAATTAAAATGGAACTTTTATACTGTAAAATACAGTTACCAATACTCACATAAATATTTTAGAAGTCAAAATCAGTATTATCTTTGATCTTTAAAATATACTTGTCATGCTCAACATTTACAAGATGTTGCTAATATAAGTTTGAAAAAATACTGAAAACAAAAACAAAAGAAAGTCAAAAAAGTGAAAACATTCAAAGTTTATGAAGAGAATTTAATCTAGAAAGTAGGGGAAAAGTCAGGGACACTGGGACAGATCTGTAATTCCAGCACTCAGGAGGCTGGTGGGGCAGGTGAGAGGAGAAAAAGAAGACAAACAACTTGGGGGTGGGGGACAATGGGACGGAGGGAGGGGAAGGAAATTGAGCACTAGAAAAAAAAAGATTAGTTTAAAACAAAGAATCAGGACTATACTATTCTGTGTATGTGTGTTTTCATACACGCACATGTATGAATATGTATGTGGAGGCCAGGGGTCGGTCAACATGGGGTGTCTCCCTCAATCACTCTCCACTGTATTTTCTGTGAACCTGAAGCTTGCTGACTTTATAGACTAGCTGGCCAGCAAGCCCCAGAGAATCCACCTCCCCAGCACTGGGATTACAGGTTGAGTGCAGCCATACCTAGCTTTTTACATGGGTGCTGGGGATCCCAACTTAGGTCTTCATATTTGCAGAACAAGTACTTTACCAACTGAGCCATCTTCCCCCGGTCCCAGATTACTATCCCTAATGTTGAGTCTCATCAGCGCCAACTAGTTTTTGCATAAACAGTTTTTACCTAAATTG